CACACCCCAACACTCACCTCACCCCAAACACTCACCCCGCTCACCCAGCAGACAGCACTCACCCCAAACACTCACCCCACCACTCACCCCACCACTCACCCCACCACTCACCCCACCACTCATCCCACCACTCATCCCACCACTCATCCCACCACTCACCCCACCACTCACCCAAACATTGACCCAACAACACTTACACCAAGTATACACATGCCACTCGCCCCACCACGCACCCCAGCACTTACCCCACCACTCACCCCACCACTCATCCCACCACTCACCCCACCACTCACCCCACCACTCACCCAAACATTGACCCAACAACACTTACACCAAGTTTACACATGCCACTTACCCCACCACTCACCCCACCACTCACCCCACCACTCATCCCACCACTCATCCCACCACTCATCCCACCACTCCCCCACCACTCACCCAAACATTGACCCAACAACACTTACAAGTATAAACATCCCACTCACCCCAGCACTTACCCCACCACTCACCCCACCACTCACCCCAGCACTTACCCCACCACTCACCCCACCACTCACCCCAGCACTTACCCCACCACTCATCCCACCACTCACTCATCCCACCACTCACCCCACCACTCACCCAAACATTGACCCAACAACACTTAGACCAAGTATACACATGCCACTCGCCCCACCACTCGCCCCACCACTCAAACCACCACTCATCCCACCACTCACCCCACCACTCACCCCACCACTCACCCCACCACTCACCCCACCACTCACCCCACCACTCACCCCACCACTCACCCCACCACTCACCCCACCACTCACCCAAACATTAACCCAACAACACTTACACAAAGTATACACATGCCACTCGCGCCACCACTCACCCCAGCACTTACCCGGCCACTTGCCGAACAGGAATCGATTAATCGCCCCGTGTTCACCGCGTGGCTGTTCGTGCAGTTGCTACGCGACAGCCCAGAGACCCCCCCCCTACCCCCTCCACAGACACCAAACGGCCAGTAACAAACAGGCCAGCGATCCAATGGGGTAACGAATCTGTGCACAGACGACCCAAACTCACCACACGATATGACACATCGTGGTGAGCCAAGGCCAGCCGTCGCATGTGTGTACGTTGAACTTCTTTCGCACCGTACGTAGTCAGCAGTGCTCATTGGAGATGCGTAGTCGTTATCGTTAATCGGCGGTGGAGCGGTGGTGCAGTGGTTAGGTTAGTGGTTAGTGGTTGGGTTAAGTGGTTGGGCTAAGTGGTTGGGTTTAGTGGTTGGGTTAGCGGTTGGGTTAGTGGTTGGGTTAGTGGTTGGGTTAGTGGTTGGGTTAAGTGGTTGGGTTAAGTGGTTGGGTTAAGTGGTTGGGTTAAGTGGTTGGGTTAGTGGTTGGGTTAGTGGTTGGGTTAAGTGGTTGGGCTAAGTGGTTGGGTTAAGTGGTTGGGTTAGTGGTTGGGTTCAGTGGTTGGGTTAAGTGGTTGGGTTAAGTGGTTGGGTTAGTGGTTGGGTTAGCGGTTGGGTTAGTGGTTGGGTTCAGTGGTTGGGTTCAGTGGTTGGGTTAAGTGGTTGGGTTAAGTGGTTGGGTTCAGTGGTTGGGTTAAGTGGTTGGGTTCAGTGGTTGGGTTAAGCGGTTGGGTTAGTGGTTGGGTTAAGTGGTTGGGTTCAGTGGTTGGGTTCAGTGGTTGGGTCAGTGGTTGGGTTAAGTGGTTGGGTTCAGTGGTTGGGTTCAGTGGTTGGGTTCATTGGTTGGGTTCAGTGGTTGGGTTAAGTGGTTGGGTTAAGTGGTTGGGTTCAGTGGTTGGGTTCATTGGTTGGGTTAGTGGTTGGGTCAGTGGTTGGGTTAAGTGGTTGGGTTAAGTGGTTGGGTTAAGTGGTTGGGTTCAGTGGTTGGGTTAAGTGGTTGGGTCAGTGGTTGGGTTAAGTGGTTGGGTTAAGTGGTTGGGTTAAGTGGTTGGGTTAAGTGGTTGGGTTCAGTGGTTGGGTTAAGTGGTTGGGTCAGTGGTTGGGTTAAGTGGTTGGGTTCAGTGGTTGGGTTAAGTGGTTGGGTCAGTGGTTGGGTTCAGTGGTTGGGTTAGTGGTTGGGTTAAGTGGTTGGGTCAGTGGTTGGGTTAAGTGGTTGGGTTAAGTGGTTGGGTTCAGTGGTTGGGTTAAGTGGTTGGGTTAAGTGGTTGGGTTCAGTGGTTGGGTTCAGTGGTTGGGTTAAGTGGTTGGGTTAAGTGGTTGGGTTCAGCGGTTGGGTTAAGCGGTTGGGTTAAGTGGTTGGGTTAGTGGTTGGGTTAAGTGGTTGGGTTAGTGGTTGGGTTCAGTGGTTGGGTTAAGTGGTTGGGTTAGTGGTTGGGTTAAGTGGTTGGGTTAAGTGGTTGGGTTCAGTGGTTGGGTTCATTGGTTGGGTTAAGTGGTTGGGTTAGTGGTTGGGTTAGCGGTTGGGTTAAGTGGTTGGGTTCAGTGGTTGGGTTAAGTGGTTGGGTTAGTGGTTGGGTTAAGTGGTTGGGTTAGTGGTTGGGTTAAGTGGTTGGGTTAAGTGGTTGGGTTAAGTGGTGGGTTCAGGGTTGGGTTAAGCGGTTGGGTTAGTGGTTGGGTTCAGTGGTTGGGTTCAGTGGTTGGGTTAAGTGGTTGGGTTAGTGGTTGGGTTAAGTGGTTGGGTTAAGTGGTTGGGTTCAGTGGTTGGGTTCAGTGGTTGGGTTAAGTGGTTGGGTTAAGCGGTTGGGTTAGTGGTTGGGTTCAGTGGTTGGGTTAAGTGGTTGGGTTAAGCGGTTGGGTTAGTGGTTGGGTTCAGTGGTTGGGTTCAGTGGTTGGGTTAAGCGGTTGGGTTAGTGGTTGGGTTCAGTGGTTGGGTTCAGTGGTTGGGTTAAGTGGTTGGGTTAGTGGTTGGGTTCAGCGGTTGGGTTAAGTGGTTGGGTTAGTGGTTGGGTTCAGTGGTTGGGTTCAGTGGTTGGGTTAAGTGGTTGGGTTAGTGGTTGGGTTAAGTGGTTGGGTTAAGTGGTTGGGTTCAGTGGTTGGGTTCAGTGGTTGGGTTCATTGGTTGGGTTCATTGGTTGGGTTAAGTGGTTGGGTTAGCGGTTGGGTTAAGTGGTTGGGTTAAGTGGTTGGGTTCAGTGGTTGGGTTCAGTGGTTGGGTTCATTGGTTGGGTTCATTGGTTGGGTTAAGTGGTTGGGTTAGCGGTTGGGTTAAGTGGTTGGGTTCAGTGGTTGGGTTCATTGGTTGGGTTAAGTGGTTGGGTTAGTGGTTGGGTTAAGTGGTTGGGTTCAGCGGTTGGGTTAAGCGGTTGGGTTAAGTGGTTGGGTTAGTGGTTGGGTTCAGTGGTTGGGTTCAGTGGTTGGGTTAAGTGGTTGGGTTAGTGGTTGGGTTAAGTGGTTGGGTTAAGTGGTTGGGTTCAGTGGTTGGGTTCATTGGTTGGGTTCATTGGTTGGGTTAAGTGGTTGGGTTAGTGGTTGGGTTAAGTGGTTGGGTTCAGTGGTTAGGCTAAGCGAGCGCCACGCGGCACATGTTATGAGCAAATCTAGGAACCCGAGTTGGATTCCCGGCTCACGGCTACCATCAGTGGCGGGTGATGGTAGAACTCAATCCTGCCCCCCCCCCTTCCTAACCCTCCACTGCCCTTCACCGACACGCATTGACCGGCGTGGTGAAGTATGGTCCAGCAAAAATAACAACAACTCTATGTTCTTGGTTCTTTCGGTAAAGTCACGTAGAAGGAAAATAATAAAACAATAAACATTTAACATAATACAATACAATTCTCACGACGTTTCGGCCACAACACAAGCAGCCGTCCTCAGGTCAAGAACAGAGCTGTTGGAAAGACAGCGTAGGTATAAAATAAAAGAAATAAATTGATTCATTGGGACGCTGTCTTTCCAACAGCTCTGTTTTTTCACCTGAGGACGGCTGCTTGTGTTGTGGCCGAAACGTCGTGAGAATTGTATTGTTTTATTTTTACTATTTTATTATTTCCCTTCTACGTGACTTTACCGAAAGAACCAAGAATATGAATTCCTGCAGTCACGAAAGAAGCTTTAAATGGAAACAACTCCATGCCCGACACGGCGTGGCCTAGACCATCACTGGATGTGTTTTTGTTTGTGTGCATCATTCATCGAATTGGCTGGCGAGATGAGAAGGTGGCAAGGGGGTTGGGTGAGAGGGGGTGGGTGGGTGGGTGAGAGGGGTGGAGTGGGAGAGCGGTGGCGCAGCGGTTAGCGCACCCACTGCCTTATGAACCCCGCGGGCAGAGTTCGGCTGCCCGAGTTCTAATCCCCGCAACGGGGACAAATAACCCGAACCCCTGCACCCGGGCCTCCCCTAGGTCGACTCGGCCTTGAAACTAGTACGTGGTGGGGTGTACGTAAGCATCAGCACTTGGGAGACAAAGGCGGCCGGGCGCGGTGTTCTGACCTTCATAGGTGGCGCTGCTCCTCGCTAACAGCCCTTGCCCCCAACAGTGGAGAGGCTATACGGGGTGGGGGGAATCTTTGTCTTTGGTGTGTGGGGGGGTGAATCATTATGAAGCCCCCACTCACCAACTCTGTTCCACCCCCTCCCTCCACAAAGACAAAGATCCCCCGTGTAGCCTGTAACGGACTGTAGGGGCAAGTGCTGTTGGCGAGTAGCAGCACCTATGAAGGCCGGAACGGCACACAAAGGGTGTGGGTGGCCAGCACCACGCCCGACCGCCTTTGTCTCCCCAGTGGCGCTGTTTACACATCGCACCAGGGTACTCATTTGAGGCGGAGTCGACCTAGGCGAGGCCCCAGGACCGGTTCGAGATAATCGTCACTGGCGGTGTTGGCCGTGAGCGGGAATCGAACCCGGGTCGCCGGTTTCGTAGCGCAATGTAGCGCTAACCGCTCCCCCACCGCTCCTCCCACACAAACTCCCAAACTCCACCCCTCCTCAGCCCACAGCCCCGCCCCTCGCCCACAGCCCCGCCCCTCGCCCACAGCCCCGCCCTTAGCCAGAGACTCGATCCCGCCCGGATCCCAGTCGCCACAATCGAGAAGGAACCCCGGCACCACGCGTACAGCGGCGTCGTCATCTTCATCATCAGCAGCAGATCTGGCGAAAGAAATCTGCGCAGCCTGGCTGAAGTGTTAACAAAGACAAAGAGCCTCGGTCCCACCCCTCCCCACCCCCCGTATAGCCTTAGCGGACTGTTGGGGCAAGTGCTGTGTTAAGACACGCTTAGAGACACACACCCACATCGCTACAGATGTGGTACACGTCGACAGGAGATGCTTCCCCATAATAGATAGCCTTCACAGACTGTTGGGGCAAGTGCTGGTGTTGGCGAGCGCCTGCACACACACACGTTCACACACACACACGTTCACACACACGTACACACACGTTCACACACACACACGCTCACACACGCTCACAAGTACACACACACTCACACGTACACACACACACGTACACACACACACGTTCCCACACACACACACACGTTCACACACACACACGCACACACACACACGTTCACACACACGCGCACTCACACGCGCCTTACAGCTGGGATCTCTCTTCGCGCGCGGCCGGTGCCACAGTCACGACATCGTCAAGGGACGTAGCCACCTTGACCGTAACGGTGAAGTCGTCATCATCATCGCCGTCATCGTTGAAGTCCTCTACCTTCATCGGGGGCTCTTCCGCCGTCGTCCGCTGCTGGTGACGCAGGCGAGGATGGGACGAGGGGTGACGATGTTCCAGTGACAACCAGAGAGTCCTGCTGATGATGAAGATGATGATGACGACGCTGCTGCTGCTGCTGATGATGATTCAGACGAGGACATATGAAATGAGTTACGCGCAGAAGTTCCCTTGTGCGTCTCTCTGAAGGCCACGGTGGTGGTGATGTTTACGATGGTGGTGACGATGTTGACGACGACGGTGGTGGTGGTGGCGATGACTCTGCAAACGCAGTAAGTGCCGAGCCGCTCGTCTCGGCTTCCTCCTCTTCATTTCCCCGTCGCGTGAAGACACAAGACCGACGGAGTTGTTTACTGCTCAAGAAGACTTCTATATATATATATGTTGTTAATATAGTTCACGAATAGTTTGTGCTAGATTATTTTAGTCTGAGAGGGTGGTGTTGTCGGTGGTGGAGAGACTGGACCCCAAGAGGAAGGCAGAGGAAACGATCCCAGTCCGGTCCGGCAACTCCACCTTTGTGGCTTGGTGAATGAGCGCCGTTGTGGGGGTGGTGCTCGACCATACTTCACCAAGCTGGGCAATGCGGCTTGTCGGTGAGAAGGTGTCGTGCGTTGAAGATGAATCAACGTCCCTCTGCGTGAACACGAGCTCCGAGAGCCAGATGGGTGCGTGTGTCCGTGTGTGAGCATCGGTCTGACACCGCTAAGAGGGCACAGAGGGGTACGTGCGTCACCCTGAAGTGCTCCACCCTGAAGTGCTCCACCCTGAAGCGCAACTCCTCCTCGTCATCCGCGGGACGACCTCTGGCGCAGCGAGATGGCACCGCTCCCTCTCGAGTCGCCCACGTGCGCCCTTGACGTCACGGAAGTTCCGTGTTGTTCGTCCCGATAGAGAGAAACTTTGCGGCCGTCATCAACAATTCGGGCCCTAGATCCGAAACGAATTGTTAACCCGGCAGAGTTAAACATCACGAAGCGCGAACGTGTTTCTGCGCAGCAAACTCTTGAGTTTGGGGACGTCGTGAGAGAGTGAGACGCACGCGGCCCTCGCATCGATGATGGTCTTGCGGATGCTGTCGCGACATCGATGAGAGTGGACACATCTCGAGACCTGGAGGCACAACGTCGCAGCGACACGGCGAAGACCGTCGTGGTCGGGTGGCAGGAGGAGGAGGACGAGGTGGAGGTGGAGGAGGTGGAGGAGGAGGAGGAGGAAGAGGAGGGGGAGAACGGCGAGGAGGTGGAGCAGAACGAGGGTCCACTGCGCGAGTCTAACTTCGCGCTCGAGATTCTGCAGAACAGCCGCAATGCGTGGACGGAAGTGATCGGGCAGTTTTGCGCAGACCTGGAGTGTCCGTCTTGGAGAGAGGATTTTGGTGCCCCACGGGGTGGCGAGGCGGAGGACGAGGTGGTTGAAGAGGAGGAGGAGCAGCGAGAGATCGACGAGGAGGAGGTGGAGGAGGGAGAAGTGGAGGGGCAGGTTGAGAAGCAGGGCTGGGAGGAGGTTGAAGAGGAGCAGGAGAGAGACGTGCAGCAGCAGGAGGAGGAGGAGAGAGACGTGAATCAGCAGCAGGAGGAGCAGGAGAGAGACGTGGAGCAGGAGGAAGAGGAGCAGGAGAGAGACGTGGAGCAGCAGCAGCAGGAGGAGCAGCAGCAGCAGCAGGAGGAGCAGCAGCAGGAGGAGGAGATCCGAACGGGAGTAGGAATGAGAGCAGAGCTCCTGAACAAGGCTGAGTCTGACACGGGCTCGTCGGCAGAGTCGTCGACTGGCAGCGTGACCGCGAGATGCCTCGGCCTTGAAGACGCCACGCGGGGCGAGACCACCACCACCACCATCATGGGAGGAGGTCTCAAGCAGCAGCAGCAGCAGGACGTGAGATTGAGGAGAAGTAGCTTTGAGCGGCAGCAACGCGGTGACCGGCGTCAGCAGCATCAGCAGACAGCACCTCGGCCGCGTCCTGCGAGTTTGTACAGCCACCCGGAGCTTGCGAGCGGCGGACTCCGCAGCATACCCGAGCCTCCGGCGAAGAGCCCCACGCCTCGACGTCCACGGAGCATCTGTCTATCGGGAGCAAGCAGCCGGGCAGAGGGAGACCTCGCGAGGCACGGCACCTGTGGGACACCCGCCACTGATGCAGCCGCTGTCGGTGCTGTCGGTGTTGCTGCTGCTGCTGGTGGTGGTGGTGGTGCTGGCGGTGGTGGTGGTGGCGACGATGTCGCAGCGCCAATTCGTCGTCACAGAGCATCGTCCTTCACCTGTCAAATCGACGCAGAGATCCTGCGTCGTGGCAGCGCTGCGGCGGATGATGGCGCTGGTGCAGGCGCAGCGCAGAGGAGGAGGACCCGGCCCATGAGCCTCATGGTGGAGCCCACCACCAGGCCCGAAAAGCCTCCCGTCGACACGAGGAGAGAGGGCGCAGATCCGTGGAGGTTCGCGCGACGTCTCGTGGCTCTGAGCGCCAGCTTCAAGAAGGCGCGCGGAACCTCTGCGAGAGGACGCGGTGGTGGTGATGGTGGTGATGGTGGACGTCGTGAAGAAGTTGCCACCTGCAGATCCCCAGGTCGTGTTGAGGAGCAACGGCCGAATGCGCACTCAACGCCTCTTCGTGATCATCGTGATGATGGATGTCACCACCACCATCACAATCACTCCCACCGCTATGGCAGTAATGGAACCCTCAACAACGGGGAACAGCGCCAGAACTGTAGCAATCATCATCAGCAGCAGCAGCAGGCTGGGGAGTGGAAGTTTGTGGGACTCATCAGGAAGAGTTTCAGCTTCCGACTCAAGGGCAGCGGTGGTGGTGGTGGCGGCCGGCCCAGGCCGCACGGAGCAGGCAGCCCGTGCGGCTCTCCTGTCCTCGGCAGGCGAATGTGGACAACGGCGGATCCGAGGGCGGCCAACGGAAGCGCCTCGCACAACGGACTGGGGCCTCGCCAGACGGGCTGCGGAGGCGAAACGATCGCCGCCTCCGACATCACCTGCACGACCACCTCCTCCTCCCCGTCATCATCATCATCATCGCCACCGCCGCCGTCATCGTCGGCATCGTCGGCATCGGCCTCGTTTCTTCAGCGGCGTTTCTCGCGGCGTTCCAGAGACCGCCAGGGCAGGAACAAGACCTGGGACGGCCACGAGATTGACGCGGTCTTGGGGAGCCCCGGCTCACTCGGCGCGACGCACCACGACGGGAGGATCAGGAGGCTGCTCAGCAGAATCTTCGTGCGTAAAGACGGAGATGGAACTCCGACGACGACGGCTTGTGCGGCGGAAACCTCCTCCTCGTCGTCGTCGGCAGCTTTAGCCGCCGCTGCTGCTGCTGCTGCTGCATCATCGTCACCCGGATCGCGGATGGGTGGCCCGGCTGGAGAGGTCGGGGTCGACGTGACCCCGCGAGGTCACGCCGACCCGAGGCCGACCATCATCGTGGTGGTGCACGAAGGTGACCGAGGTGGTGTCGGCGAGACGGAGGTTGCCTCTCCAGCCCACGGTGAGCGCCCCCCCCCCCACTCTCCCCCGAGAGATGAAAACCTCTGTCGGGTTCTTCCGTTTTGTTTTTGGTGCCTTGCGCGTGCAGTTTTGGAAAAGAAAAGTTATCGATTGTCGCAGCTTTTTTTTAATGTCGTGAGCCATTCACACACGGCAGCTGAGTGGAGCATTCGCTCGCTCCTCCAGAACGTAGCGTGGTCGTGTTGGGGTAGCTGAGTGGAGCATTCGCTCGCTCCTCCAGAACGTAGCGTGGTCGTGCTGGGGTAGCGTCATCGGTGATTGTTCTCACCTCCACTAGCCTCTGACAAGCCAACGTGGTGCTGTTGTTGTGACGTGGTGCTGTTGTTGCCACGTGGTGCTGTTGTTGTGACGTGGTGCTGTTGTTGCCACGTGGTGCTGTTGTTGCCACGTGGTGCTGTTGTTGTTGTGACGTGGTGTTGTTGTTGTGACGTGGTTGACAGCAGTCCGCTGTCGGGTGAGTAAAGAGGGGGGGGGCAGGGATTATTTAAAATTATTTTTTATTTTTTTATTTTTTTGAGTGCCAACATCACGAAGGGAGGGAATGTCCCCGTGTTTGCCGTGCCGCGTCTGTGCGGTGCCGACGCACGCGACGTTTCGGGCCATGACCCTTCGTAGCTGAGCGGTCGTTAATGTATCGCACCTCCCGGCGATGAGCACGGCTGGCTACGTACAGTGCGAAAGAAGTTCTTGCATACGCACCGAACAATGATAACTTCGGATGTATTCATTGTTCTGAGGATCAACGTTCGAGTTTGATTATAATCTGTGTGCTGCACCCACCCCCACCCCCCTATAGTTCGTGAGCTACTTGGGGCCCCTAAACCCCTTTTGCGTTTCGTTTACCTTTGTCCAGCGCCACCACTGAGTGGGCGAGCGAGGGAGCGGTGGCGCAGCGGTTAGCGCGCTGTCCATCGAAAATCTTGAACCGTTGCTCGGACCTCGCCTAGGTCGACTCGGCCCTCAAAGACGATAGTTCTTGGCGCGTTCTGGGCAAACATCGGCACTGGGGATACAAAGGCGGCCGGGCGCGGTGCTGGCAAACTCCACCAACCTTCGCGGGGGGGGGGGGTCCCTTTGTATGATGATCATGATCAGCGTGAGTGAGTGAGCGAGCAAGCGTTTGTGTGGATAGGGGTCGGTGAGTGGGTGGACAGGGGGTTGATGGGTAGGGGTCTGTGGGTGGGTAGGGGTCAGTATCTTTGTTTACACTTGGGGAGGAATCTGATGAGCTGTGAAGCAATTTTTAACAGGGTTGGTGGGTTGGGTATGGGGTTGGTTTGGTGGGTGGGTATGGGGTTGGTTTGGTGGGTGGGTATGGGGTTGGTTTGGTGGGTGGGTATGGGGTAGGTTTGGTGGGTGGGTATGGGGTTGGTTTGGTGGGTGGGTATGGGGTTGGTTTGGTGGGTGGGTATGGGGTTGGTTTGGTGGGTGGGTATGGGTAGGTTTGGTGGGTGGGTATGGGGTTGGTTTGGTGGGTGGGTATGGGTTGGTTTGGTGGGTGGGTATGGGGTTGGTTTGGTGGGTGGGTATGGGGTTGGTTTGGTGGGTGGGTATGGGGTTGGTTTGGTGGGTGGGTATGGGGTTGGTTTGGTGGGTGGGTATGGGGTTGGTTTGGTGGGTGGGTATGGGGTTAGGTTTGGTGGGTGGGTATGGGGTGGTTTGGTGGGTGGGTATGGGGTTGGTTTGGTGGGTGGGTATGGGGTAGGTTTGGTGGGTGGGTATGGGGTTGGTTTGGTGGGTGGGTATGGGGTTGGTTTGGTGGGTGGGTATGGGGTTGGTTTGGTGGGTGGGTATGGGGTTGGTTTGGTGGGTGGGTATGGGGTTGGTTTGGTGGGTGGGTATGGGGTTGGTTTGGTGGGTGGGTATGGGGTTGGTTTGGTGGGTGGGTATGGGGTAGGTTTGGTGGGTGGGTATGGGGTTGGTTTGGTGGGTGGGTATGGGGTTGGTTTGGTGGGTGGGTATGGGTTGGTTTGGTGGGTGGGTATGGGTTGGTTTGGTGGGTGGGTATGGGGTAGGTTTGGTGGGTGGGTATGGGGTTGGTTTGGTGGGTGGGTATGGGGTGGTTTGGTGGGTGGGTATGGGGTAGGTTTGGTGGGTGGGTATGGGGTTGGTTTGGTGGGTGGGTATGGGGTTGGTTGGTGGGTGGGTATGGGGTTGGTTGGTGGGTGGGTATGGGTGGTTTGGTGGGGTGGGTATGGGGTTGGTTTGGTGGGGGTGGGTATGGGGTTGGTTTGGTGGGTGGGTATGGGGTTGGTTTGGTGGGTGGGTATGGGGTTGGTTTGGTGGGTGGGTATGGGGTTGGTTGGTGGGTGGGTATGGGGTAGGTTTGGTGGGTGGGTATGGGGTTGGTTTGGTGGGTGGGTATGGGGTTGGTTTGGTGGGTGGGTATGGGGTTGGTTTGGTGGGTGGGTATGGGGTTGGTTTGGTGGGTGGGTATGGGGTTGGTTTGGTGGGTGGGTATGGGGTTGGTTTGGTGGGTGGGTATGGGGTTGGTTTGGTGGGTGGGTATGGGGTTGGTTTGGGGGTGGGTATGGGGTTGGTTTGGTGGGTGGGTATGGGTGGGTTTGGTGGGTGGTATGGGGTTGGTTTGGTGGGTGGGTATGGGGTTGGTTTGGTGGGTGGGTATGGGGTTGGTTTGGTGGGTGGGTATGGGGTTGGTTTGGTGGGTGGGTATGGGGTTGGTTTGGTGGGTGGGTATGGGGTAGGTTTGGGTGGGTATGGGTAGGTTTGGTGGGGGGTATGGTTGTTGGTGGGTATGGGGTTTGTATGCATATTGTTTGGATCTTTCGGTAAAGTCACTTCGATAGAAAATATTAATATAAATAAAGTGAATAAAAATAGCACGACGTTTCGATCGCAACACAAGCGGTCGTCATCATTTATTCACTTTATTTTTATATCTGCGTGACTTTACCGAAAGATCCAAAGAATATGCATTCCTGCAGTCACGGAAGTTTTAACTAAAAATCGATGCTTGTATGTTGAAGTTATTTCGCACTGTACGTAGCCAACCGTTCTAATCGGAGCAGCCGGGGAAGGGTTCGGGGTTGGTGGGTGTGTGGGTGGGCGGATGGGTGTGTGGGTGGGTGTGTGGGCGGGTGGGCGGATGGGTGTGTGGGTGGGTGTGTGGGTGGGTTGGTGGGTGAGTTGGTGTGTGGGTGGGTGGATGGGTGTGTGGGTGATATGGTGTGTGGGTGGGTGTGTGGGTGGGTGTGTGGGTGGGTTGGTGGGCGGGTGGGTGTGTGGGTGGGTGGATGGGTCTGTGGGTGATATGGTGTGTGGGTGGGTGTGTGTGTGGGTGGGTGCGGGGTGGGTGTGTGGGTTGGGGTGTGGGTGGGTGGGTAGGAGTCGGTGGGTGTGTGGATGTGTGGGTGTGTGGGTGGGTGCGGGGTTGGTGGGTGGGTTGGTGTGTGGGTGGGTGGGTAGGAGTCGGTGGGTGTGTGGATGTGTGGGTGTGTGGGCGGGTGTGTGTGTGGGTGGGCGGATGGGTGTGTGGGTGGGTGTGTGGATGGGTGGGTGGGCGGGTGTGTGTGTAGGTGGGCGGATGGGTGGATGGGTGGGTTGGTGTGTGGGTGGGTGCGGGGTTGGTGTGTGGGTGGGTGGGTAGGTTGGTGGGTGGGTGTGTGGGTTGGTGTGTGGGTGTGTGGATGGGTGTGTGAGTGTGTGGATGGGTGGGTGGGTGTGTGGGCGGGTGTGTGGGTGGATGGGTGGGTTGGTGTGTGGGTGGGTGCGGGGTTGGTGTGTGGGTGGGTGGGTTGGTGTGTGGGTGGGTGGGTGGGTATGTGTGTGGGTGGGTGTGTGGGTTGGTGTGTGGGTGTGTGGATGGGTGGGTGGGTGTGTGGATGGGTGGGTGGGTGTGTGGATGGGTGGGTTGGTGTGTAGGTAGGTGGGTGTGTGGGTGCGGTGTGTGTGGGTGTGTGGGTGGGTGTGTGGGTTGGTGTGTGGGTGTCAGGTCATAATGTCCGTGTCTGGAACACCGCAGCCGACACAGCTGGGATTCGGCACGCCGTGCCACGCCGTGCCACGAGACGGTGAATCCAGTTGGAAACCTCGCACGGAGAATAGCGTGGCACTTGCTGTGGTGAGGTGTGATGAGCGGCGGTGTGGTGAGTGGAGTTGTGGCAAGAAGTGGTGAGCGCGGTGCGGTGAGGTGCGGTGAGCGGTTCGATTTTCCGAGTTCGGAGTCTTTAGAAAGGTGGATGATGAACGAGGACGTGTTTTGAATGTGTGCGGTCACGGAGCCAGCACACGTGAGCGGCCTGGGTTCAACACCTAGGGCTCTGGGTGTGCCTCTCTCTCTTTCTGTGAGAGGTTGAAGCGATCCAACTGTTTCAAGTGTGTTTCTTTTGGTTGAGCACGTCCGCTTTCGCGACCAATATCATCCGTAAATCCTACGCGCTCTAACCACCTCTCCCCCCCCCCCCAAAATAAAAACAACCTCTTTATTTTAACCGTGCTGGGTGTCAACTCCAGACAGACTTTGATGGGGGTGGGTGGGTGGGGGGCAGGGGGTGATCTTCAACCAAAAATGACAGCAACAACAGAGTACAGCAAATGAAGCGACTTTCGGTAAAGTCAAGTAGAATGTAAATAATAAAATAATAAAAATAAAACATTCTAAAATCATTATCTTATAATAAAATAATAAAAATAAAACATAATAAAATATTTTTTTTATAATAAAAAAATAAAAATAAAACATAAAATTTTTTTATTATTTTATTATTAATAATAATTTTTATTATTTTATTTTAATTTCCATTCTACGTGACTTTACCGAAAGAACCAAGAAGATGAATCCCTGCAGTCACGAAAGCTTTAAATCGAAAAATAACCCCCTTCTCAAGGTTAGTTCGGATCTGCAGACTCTGCCCCCCTCCCCCTTTGTGTGCGTAACTTCGACTCCGGGGGGCTGAGCGGGCGGGGGGGGGGGGGCTGAGCGGGGGGGGGGGGGGGGCTGAGCGGGGCGGGGGGGCTGAA